TTGTGTGGGAGCCGAAGCACACCATATTTCGACAGGTGCTCGGCGTGCAACATTAATGAACAAAGTAGAAGATGATCTCCTTTCGGAGAAGAATCGTCCTCTCTTCGGCGCAGTAATTTGTTCCTTAGAGAAAAGGATTGAAAAGCTGATCATGCGCCAGAGATGTTCTGTTTATGTAGATTGCTCAAAGGGTGATCACAACGGAGAATCCGTTTTGTTTTCGGTGATATTAAGTTCTGTGACGCAGTATTCCAGGTCAAACTTGGAAATGCCGAAGGGTAGGCCTGAAGAAAGTTCTAATCTGAATTCGCTTTGAAACGAAGTTGTCAGTGACCTAATCGAGCTGTAGAGCTGCGCTGAACGATAGCTCACTAATCAAATCCAAAAATGGAATAAGTTTGCTATCGTTACGGTTAATGTACATGATACGATACGTTGGTTGTGTAAAGAAATGTGGGAATGTTGTACATCTATGACACCAGTATGTCAAAAGTTAGGACGTGTAACGAAGAGTACACTTTTGTCCAAGCTAATGGTAGCATGAGTCAAGAATTATATACGTATATTACATTTGATTTGCTCTTATCAGATTTGCTTAGCGTTAGTGCACCGTTACTTTGCTTTTGGTACCTTTGGAGGGGGACCATTTGAGCAGACCACGGCTTCGTGGTGCCTGGACATCGAGGTACAGTGATTGTAGGTTCGCACCTATGAGTTCGGCAGAAGAAAGGTACGTTCGAGCATAATCGTTAGTTGCCACTCTCTGTAGGCTAATATTAACAAAGCATAAGTCCGATGCTCCCGGATTGCTTCCACATCGCAACTTTCCAATTCTACCGGTAATCATAACATTTCAGTTTGTGATATTGGATTTACTAGGCATAACAGAACAGTTACCTTGCTTATAGCTGTCTATGGGAACCATTTAAGCATTTGGAACGATTGGTACTTGATTTAGTGGAGTTAATAGTCACAGTGGCTGTTGACAGTGGCAATGACAAATGTCATCCTCCGTTCGCAGGAATGACTACTTCGATATACAAGTCATGACACATTCTTTCCGTGGATGTATTTTCTATATCATAACCTTTCTACACAAGGCTAATAATAGTAACGTAACTTTCATTCCATTTTTCGATATAAGTTGTCGAGCGTTTTCCGATCTTCTGTTTGTCTTCGCCATAACTCGTCAGCTTTCATTGAGGTTGTCAGAGACAGGGTAAAAGAATTTCTTCATGCTTTCACTGGAGATTAACACCGTATCCTCTCATCTACAGTAGCTTTTACTCAGAGGAAAGATACTTCTTCTCTGGCTTGTTGAACATTAAGTGTTCAAACAAATATAAATCCCAGAGTCAATTTCTCTCATACCGGCTTCTGCTCTGTTCATAGTAGCTAACGGTCACGCTGAAGGACGTCGGACGACAAGATGACTTTCCTTTCACTATGGAAATGAGAGGAATCGACTTAGGCTGGGCGATTGAGCTGACCGCGAGTTTAAAGCAAATGAACTACGTTTCAATAAGCGGCTGTTCCTCTTGACCATTTGCTGGTGTAGCTTTTCTGTTGCAGGTCTAGTTTCTTGTATTTCACTTACGTCTTTCTCGTTTTCGTTTGGTTCATTCATTAGCTAGTTGGTGATTTGATTGAACGAACTGGCTGTTATTTCAGGATCCGTCCACAAACGGAAAAGGAGAAGATACAAATGTGTCGGGTATGCGCTTCGGTGATCGACGGAGTACCGCAGGTCGTGCTTGGGAGCGAAAGGTCGTTTACCTAC